ATCTGCGGGCACACCAACTTCACCAAATTCCAATAAAAGTTTGTTCTTGGGGAACTGAAAGGGGGGGGGGGGGGGGGGGGGGGGGGGGGGTTAATTAATAGTGGGGCAGGCGGTAGTGGTTGGCCCATTGGCCTTGGCATCCCAAAAAAGCCGGGACGGAGCACGCCGGGTTCTCACCGGACCAGGCTCTCACATCACCAAGCGCGAAGCGCCGTGAGGTATTTGGCGAGTCGCATGAAGGGTGAGCTGCATCCTGCTAAGGGTGTTCGGCATGGGGGGGGGGGGTACTCTGATGTTTTGCATGCCTCAGCGGTTAGACCATTGACCACGCGTCCTCGAGAGGACGGAGCATTGTTCCCACAGACCCGATCACCGATGGCCAATCGTTACTTCCTACTGTGCCAAAGGTGGCCCAAGAATGTCGTCCTAGTCTATCTGTCCTATCGATATTACTTCCCCCCTTTTCAACCCACTTCCTATGCCCCAGTACAGCTACCGTCTTCTCCTGGCTATTCCATGGCTCAAACATCTCCCTGTATCTTGCTTCGGCTTTTGTTGGGGGGGGGGGGGGTCTCACTCGTTGATGGTCTCGCTGTAGACGGCGTGCACGGGGATGGCGGGGGCGGGAATTCGATACGATTGGCTTCGTTTAGCTGCAGCATGTTGCGGTCTTTACTTTTGGTCCTCTGGCGGCCTTACGAGTTCGACGAAAACAGTTGGTTGCGACAGCAGCCTTCTTATTCTTATTTACACTGTTCTTGCATCCCGGCTTGAACCCGATGGACCGTTGGGAACCCAAACACCGCTGGTTGATGTGAGGTCAGTGAGCCATCCGTGGATAGACGCTAGATTGGCCTGCACCGGATACACGCGCTGTTTCATTAAGGTAGAAGCTGGTGCCTTCGAGAGTTGCAGTGGAGGGTCTCCATGTCCCCGCCATCAATCTTCGACAAAGTCGTATTGTGAGGTCTATAGGAGTCCCACGGGGTATGCGTACTTGGACGACGGTGAGATCAAGGCAACCCGAAGCAGAGAACAAAAAACGAACTTAGTTGTTGGCCCTAAGTGCGAACGCGCGGTTAGCGAGCAGGCGAGGCTGCTGCTGCTGCTGCTGCTGCTGGCAACCCCGCGGGCCAGCAATAAGCACCGACAAAGCACACATAGCGGAGCACCGTCTATTGTCGTCGTCTCATTATCTCAGCACTAATTCGAACGCAAAAAATGATAATAACACTCATATTCGCTGCGGCTTACTGCCACGCTACATTGGTTCCAACAACTGATACTGCTGTATCCTTTGGCAACGACCACACTGTTGCATATCTTGATGACAACAACTACGGTATCCTTTGGCGACGACGACCATGTTTAATGGCAACAACTGCTACTGCATCCTTTAGCAACGACCACGCTGTTTTTGTCTATCTTGATGCTAACAACTACGGCCCTTTGGCAACGACCACACTTTTAAACATGTTTGCCTTGATGCCAACGACAACGACTACGGTATCCTTTTGCAGCTGTCGGCGGCGGTGACGTCGGACGTGATGGTGGCCAAGCAGGCCGTGCAGGGAAACCTCCAGCGGGACAGAGGCCTCCGAGCCGTGCTCGAGACGATCTGCGGCCTGGCCGTGCTCTTCAAGCTCTCGCCCCGCCTCGCCTGGGTGTTCGGACTGGTCATCCCTTTCGCCGCGTGGAGCTTGGTGAGAAGTCGTGGTGGTTTCTGGAGCTGTTTTCGTCATTGTTGTTGTCGTTGTCGTTGTCGTTGTCGTCGTGGTTGGTGGCGGTAGTGGTTATTGGTGGCTGTTGTGTTTCGATTTGTTTTTGGAATCGTGTTTTTCTTTTTGGTTGTGTCCCTATCGCAATGCGCCGTTCGTTTGGCGGTGGTCGGTGTGTTTGCTTTGCCGGTCCAGTAACACGAACGGGCTGGACGGAAACTCACAACAACATGACATTATACCATGTGATAAACAGGCAGAGGCCCGCAAGAAGCTGATGCTGCTGGGGCAGGAGGAGGGGAAATCTCTGGGGGTCGAGGCCTCCATCGCATCGGAGGTGAGAGAGACCTGCAAGAGATTATTTCGATAGTAGATGAGAAAGATGGGAGAGAAAAGAAGAACTGCACAATTAAGGGTATCGGTGGGAGGCGACGTAAAGAACGAAAAACAGCACCATGAACTAGAAAACAACGAATCCATGCGAAAACCAGGCCGTTCGCAACATCCGGGAAGTCCGCGGGTTCGGGGCGGAGGCTAGAGAACTGGCAAGGTTCAAGACGGCTTCACAGGGAACAGCGGTAACGTCCGTCAAGATAGGGGCGGCCTCTGGCCGGCTAGAGGCCCTCAATCGCGCCGCCATATACATGAGGTGCGTGCCCACGCCGGAAATTCATGCACGGCGGAAACCAGTGTGTCCAAGGTTGCGAAGTCGATGCTGGTACTTTGATACTGCTGCTTGGATGGTTTGTTGCTGGAGCGCTGAAGCCCCGTTAAGGGATGTTATAGTATGCGTGTTTAGTCGATCATGGTATCTTCGCTATCCTTCTGAGAGCCATCGCCACTGGACAGCTCGTCTGGCAGTTTTTGTGTGTGACGGTTTACGGCCGGTCTGTTCTATAACAGGAACGGTTTTGGAGAGTTGTCCGTCGTCATTCCTCCGCGTTTTTTCACACTACTCCCCACACCCTTCAGGCGTTGTAACGAGCTCATTACGATTCCCACCGGTTATTTTTTTCACGAAACCAGTCCATGAATTTTCCATCGCGCAACAAAAGACCAAATATATAGGTATAAATAAAAACATGCACAGAAACTCGACCCCGCTCTGTACAATTATACGAAGACGCCACCTCTCGACTTTTGGAAAGTTGTACGCGGGCACCACAAACCATGTGGTTCGTACGAGTCGAGTCCGTACCGCTGCACCAGTCCCTGATTCACTCTCACACCTATAATATACGCCGTGAACGTCACCCGGCCTCCACCACCCCCGCCTTCATGTCCAAGGAAGGGCTCGTGAGAAAGGTCCCTGAAACAGGAGCAAGTAAAAGCACGCGATATTCGCCAACGGATCGGCCCAGACTACTGGCAATAAACCAAGCTGCCCGCAGAGGTCTTTGCCCGCCCTCACCAGGACCCCCCCCCCCCCCCCGCTATGCCCACCACAACGGCATCATGCTGGTGGCGTTTTCTTCTGCCACGCGTATGTGTCTGCTGCTGCTCCTCGTCGTGCCTGTTAGCATCCTGGCCGTGATGATGGTCGGAGGGCGGCTTGTGCTGGCCGGGTCGATGCAGGCGTCGCTGCTGCTGTCTTTCGTCGGGTTCTGCTTCAGCCTGAACTTCGCCATGCAGGGGGTCAACTTCACCGTGGCGGACGCGAAGAGGGGCCAGGCAGCGCTGGAGCGGGTGTTCAAGGTGCGAGAGGGTGCTCTCACTCGACGTTGCGAGGGGAGGGTTATTGTCTGATTGTGCGTTGTCCCCTATATTCCCGTATTGTTTTTCGTCAACCGCATGTTGCCGTCTTTGCAGTGTTTGTTTACCCTCGCCATGACAGCCTGGGGCCTTAGTTCTTTCTTCATTTTTTCGGGGTGTATTCTACTATTGTGTTGGTGTTTCTTCGAACATACTTCCTTTTTGTGTTTTTTCTTGTCATGCTTAGTGGTGTGTATCGTTTTTAGGCTGTTCAGCTGTGACCACGCAAGGCGTTTGCGTCAGTTGGACCGGTACGGATGTTTTGAAGGAGGTAGACACTGAGTAGAGACCGAGACGGTTTCAATTTGATGTGAAGACAACAACAACACCAACAACAACTCTTGGTGTAAGTTTGTTTGTTTGGCTAATTTTGAAGCTGGGATCACTACTTCCACAGGCATCGTGAAGGCGGAAAAGTCACGGTACAACACGCATGTAGCCGTGTCAAACGGGAGTAGTAGCAGCAGCAGCTGTTCGCACGGTCAGCGTCAGTTGACGAACGGTGTGTACCTTGGTGACCATAAAATTTCTCGCCGTGGCGTTTTGTGTTTCTGTCCTTCGTTTGTCTAGAACGATCGGTGTTTCGTTTCCGAAGAAACCGCCCAAAACGCCACACGTTGCGTGTTTTGACGGAATTGCTGCATTGCTGGTCATGACCCCGGACCCCCAAAAGAGAACACACACAAGGTTGCATGTGTGGTAACACCTGCCCTACTCTACCACAGCGTTTTTTCGTCTCATCTGTCTTGACGCACTCTCGACTCCCCCCCCCCCCCCGCCCCGTGTGGTGAAACCATTCATAAGCAGGTCATGTCCCCTGCGGGATCGAAAGGCCTCAACCTTGGCGTGGACGTCATATCTCCCCGGGACTTCGAGGGCAAGGTGGACTTCCGGAAGGTTCACTTCACGTACCCTACTCGCCCCGACATGCACGTGCTGTCGGGCCTGGATCTGACGCTCCGGGCGGGGGAAGTCACGGCGCTGGTGAGAGATTCTGTGTGGTAAACCCTCTGGGCGAATGCCCGCATGTGTCGTAGAAACTCTTTGTTCCACGGCCTCTCAATGAGTCGTTGTAGCAGTGTAGCAGACCGACCCCCCTCCCCCTCCCTTCTTCTTAAACCCACTGCAATCCACGAACCCCCTCGGTCTGAGTACCACGGCAAGTTTTTTTTCTTTCTCTTTCGGCCTTTCCTCCTTTCCTCCGTCACTCACCTCACGTGCTTACACATGCGCGCACGCGTGCCTCTCGCTTGTTGTTCGCCGCCACAGGTGGGCAACAGCGGCGGGGGCAAGAGCACGATCGCGGCCCTGCTGAGCCGCTTCTACCCGCCAAGCCGGGGGGAGATCTTGGTTGACGGGGTGGACGTGACGGACTTGGACAGGAGGTGGCTCACGCAGAGGATAGCCTTGGTGGGACAAAACCCCGCGCTATTCACGGGGTGCGTGCTTGAGCATCGTATTTATGGGCCTGCGGTTGGTTTGCTTTGGGTCGATCGCTCTCGGCGAGAAGGGGGGGGGGCTAACGTGAAG